TATATATATATATATATATATATATATATATATATATATATATATTTGTATGCACATCCATTCACAAACGGGTGTATTTGTATTTATTAATGTGCTTGATTGAATTTGTGGAATTCAGATTCAGTAGAGGAGTTCTTAATCCAGGCTGTGGATGCAGCTAAAAGGGCTGGAGAGGTGACATCAGTTTGCAAATCCAAATCCTTGTTTACTACTATTAGAGTCGTGTTTCTTTCGGCATTGATTTATCAGTTTTTTTGCCGCATTCTTTATGCTTTGAATTTTTACAATTAATCTTCTTGCCTCAAAATTTCTGGTTCACAGATCATTCGTTCTGGGTTCTATCAGACAAAGCATGTGGAGCACAAGGGCGAGGTAAATTCTTGACTGATTAGGATGAAAAATTATACTATTTAATTACGAACTATGCATAAAGAGTTGCTTTTAAAAATTTAATTTACATCACGTGTAAGGAGCGGATCATCTTGGTTACTGATTTTTTCAATTGCTGAATTGGGGACTCCATACTTGAACTTATATGGAAAATCAAAAAATTCTGCCTGTGGTTAAGGGAAGTATAAATGAATAAGGATTTTGTCAATCACCCAATAAATCCGAGTAAATGTACATGAATAAATTCCATATTATAAGCATTAAGCCATGATGTGTGGTGGCTAATGATACTGCAGTATCTAGATACTTGATTAACTGAAGTTCTTTACCTAATCTTCCCCAACCTAAACCGAATTGGCGGTAGTTGATGTGTCATGAGAAGGAGCTACCCAAGTTCAGGAGATAGCTTTTATTCTTTCCCCTGGGTTCTGGAAAGATCTAGTTTATGGGGCAGAGCAAGTAAGTGAATTGGTAAACTTTTTTATCAGTAGAATTCTGATGTCAGGAAAACCGGTTTAGAAATCTTGAACTTGTAGGAAGTGTAGAGGATTTGGTGAATATCATGCCCCATGTGTGTGTTTCCCAGTGTCCTCATAGGAGGATTGTCTACCACAAAGATTGCGGTGGGCGCTAATAGATGATGGTGGAGATAGAAGTGAAGCAGCCATATGGCTAAAACTAACCAAAAATGTAGGTAAAGGAAAATATCTTAACAAGGGTGTTTTTTGTATTTCATGAAAAACTATAGCACCCACCCAAAATTTGCAAAAAATTGTCAGCATTTTTGCAAAATTGTATTTTGCAATAGTGTTATGATGGAGAATGGGTGGGTGAAAAAAATAAGGAGAAGTTTTGGGTTAGCATGTAAAATTATTTTATTGAATGACGTGTGGTTGAAATGGGATCAAATTACCGTTGGATAATGCATTTTCATGAAAAAGTGGGGCTCAAACATGGGCTTACTGAAGATGGTTCATTGGTTGGTTCGCGGGACAAGAAGGGCCATGCACCTCCAATGATGGTTCATTGGTTGGTTCATGGGACGAGAAGGGCTATATCAGTTATTACAAAAATACTGCCTTCAAAATATAAGTTCTTTTCTTTTCGCTGCTACTAATGATATTATTAGTTCATAAATGCTAATAAGCCTACTGCTTCCAATTGTAGGTGGATTTGGTTACAGAGACTGATAAGAGATGTGAAGAAGTCATATTCAATTTTCTCAAACAACACTACCCCAATCATAAGGTTAGATGTCTCTTCTGCATTGTGTCGTATTTAGCTGAATTTATGGTTGTTTCTTGATGGGTTTAAATGTGATGCACATTCTTAAGTCTTAACTACATGATTCTCACAACTCTTTTGTAATAATTTTTCCATCTTAGTTCATTGGGGAAGAAACCACAGCTGCTAGTGGGGCTTCAGAATTGACTGATGAACCAACTTGGATTGTTGATCCCTTGGATGGAACAACTAATTTTGTGCACGGGCAAGTGTCTTGTGTTCATTTCATTTGTCATAGGGAGTCTTTCTTCATCCATGTTAAATTTCTAAGTTATTTCATTCATTTTCAGGTTTCCATTTGTATGTGTCTCTATTGGCCTGACAATTGGACAAATTCCAACTGTTGGTGTTGTCTACAACCCTATTATGAATGAGGTAAAACTATTGAACTTCTAATAAGTTGAGGGTTAATGCAAATTGCAAATGGAAGTATAAAAATCAAGGAAATTGATAATCTCAGAGTACTTCTTCGAAAATGTTGAGATAATAGGTTATTTGCAGCCTGTAACTTATAGTGTGGTCAAAGTTACTGAATTATGCTCAATGATTTCTGTTTCATGCCATCTTTTGATAGTTGTAGCATCTTTTTGCAATAAAATAAGCCTTTGATGTATATTGGAAATGACCAGTTAAGTGACTATTGATTTCTGTGTTCCTTTTTCATATTTTTCTCCCTTGGCGCATGATTGTACTGATGTGGGGAATATAGGACTTCCTACGTATACTATGTCTGCAGTAATGTTTTTTTCGTGGAGTTTGCTAGTTGAGCATATATAATATTTGTTTTTAATATGCAGCTCTTTACTGCCATCCGTGGAAAAGGCGCTTTTCTGAATGGAAAACCTATCGAAGGCAAGTTTCCTCTTCATGTAGTCTCGCTTGTGCTGTTGAACATTCATCTCACTTCAATTGACATCCTATTTCTGTAATCTGCAGTATCTTCTCAATCTGAGCTCATGAAGTCCCTTCTTGCAACAGAGGTACTCAGCTGAATATATTATTGAACAGTGCTTTGGTTCCAAACAGACATTCGTTGTTTTTCTAATTCTATAATTTAGACTGTCAACCTGCAAATTGGAGTGGATAAGTTACCAAATTCCTGGCCTCTTTACTTTCTAAATTTTCTGGGCCTGTTTATATATCCTGTGGTAGAAGAATTGTTAGCAGTGGAAGAATGGAAAATTCACAATTTACCTTGTTAACATCCATTTTTCCTGTCCCCCTCTTAATATTTTATATAGTCTAAAATAGGAACATTATTCTTGCTTCTGTATCATATTCTAAACAGTACAACTTTTGCAATTTTGCATACAACAGTATGACTTATAAATTTGAAGAAATTTTCCTTTCTAATTTTAGTTATAGAAGCTGATTAATCAAGCTTCGCCTGATGAAATGACAGGCAGGAACAAAGCGTGACAAGTCTACTGTGGATGACACTACAAATAGAATCAATAGCTTGCTCTTCAAGGTAAACAAGTGGTTGCTTCATAATCATATTCTCAATTAACGTTTTCGGAATATAGCTCTGAACGTTGGTGTTCATACAACCAGGTTAGGTCCCTTCGGATGAGTGGTTCTTGTGCACTGAATCTCTGCGGGATTGCATGCGGAAGGCTTGACCTATTCTATGAAGTTGGGTTTGGAGGACCTTGGTAAGATTTTAAGATGCTCAATTTTGGATCTTGATATAAATTACGAGGAGCACGTTCAGTATTGTCCATTATGCTAAGCAGTAATATTTAATTCGGTATACCAAACATGTATTAAAGTTCTTTTCTCTGTCCAGGGATATAGCAGCTGGTGCTGTTATAGTAACTGAAGCTGGAGGAGTTCTGTTTGATCCGTAAGTGGCACTTTTTTCCCCCTTAAGGAAAGAATGCTGAAGAAATGGTTGTTAATGGGAATAGAGTAGTATTTGGATACGAAGCTTTTAGTCATTTAAATATTAGCATTCAACTGATCCGATTTTTATTTTCACGGTCATGAATTCTGGGATTCTTCTTAGTTTTCAATTTACAGTTGTACATGGCCCATAAGTATTGATAATTGCAAATAGTTTACTCTTAGGAATTCTTTCCATCAAATATAAAATTCTAAAAACTCGTATCTTGCTCTGACTTGTTAATAGAACTGGAGTTATTATGGAAAGTTCAGATTTCATTTCGATTATTTTTAGTTTAGATTTACATTTAAGATTAATTCTCCATTGGCTCTCTTGCCCTACATCATGGTTAAACTGTTCCGTTTGTTTCTATTAAATTGAACAAAGGGATCGCAGAAGTCCATTGTTATACCCAGTTAAAAGTTTTAGTACATTAATAAACTAACTTGAGCATAGCAGAATTGACTAAACATCCTTGATAATCCTATGTAAACACTCACTTGCCATTGGATTTTGAATTGCATTAGCAACCACATCAACTATGTATGACATTGAAAAGTCTAAATCATGACGCTTTCTGTAATCAGATCCGGCAAGGAATTTGATATCACATCTCAGCGAATAGCAGCGTCAAATCCTCTTCTCAAGGAAGCATTTATCCAGGCATTGCAACAGTCTGAATGAGTGAGATGTACGATGATTTCAGAAACTTCTTACAAGTTAAGTTTCTATTTGCTTTCTGCAAGCATCACGATCCAACTGTACTGGCTTCCCCTGATGGATTTTTAGGGAACCTTTAGTCGAAATACATGTGATGTATTTACTGGTTGTTCTTCTTGAACTAAGACCTCGAGTTGTGCTCTACACTCTGTAAAATTTAAATTGGTAATACATAAAACACCACTGTTGAAGCTTTCTTAGTCTGATTCTATGGTTGATTTTTGGGGAAAAAATCCCCTTCTCTGTTCTCTTGCTCTACTCTTCATTTTTTCCTTCTCCAGGGACCAGCAATTAAGACCGTGCAATAATCTTCTCGTATATCCATTTTTCTTTGCTTGCATCGAGTTAAGAGATGGTATATAGTTTTAATTTTTTCCTGGATACTAGGTAGTTTGATTTGACACGTAAAATTTGAGTTACTGCTTGAATTAGTCATTTATGGATCTTCATGTAAATGGAAATATGCATATACTTTGTCCAGGAGAATAAAGGATGAACCGAAGTACCAAACTAAGGCAACATATGCACCAATAATAAAAAGAATTTAGCTCATGATAGTTCATAAATAATGGGTATAAGGGACTCGAAAACTGATAAAATATACCGGTTGTCACTTGGCTGAATAAATCTCCCTCTCGAATATTAAAAAAATATATATATATATTGTTTCTATTGCTGGTCGTACATAAAACATAGGGAAATCTTTGGACGAATTTTTAAAGAAAACTGAAATAAAAATGTACAAAGATGCTGGAAAAATACTAAATGCACTCTGATACATTAAAGAAACAGCAGATATGTATAAATCCTCAACAGAAAATCTACATCAACAATGAAAAAAGGGGGAAAAACTTGTATCATCTCTAAACTCTCCCTAATACAAGCAACCTAACAATATAACCTTTAATGGAAAAGCATACAAAAATACAGCAACACAAAAATATGAAAGATATATGAGCAAATTGAACAACCCCCACTTTTCATACCCTTGCTCCATGTCCATTTGTTCCATCGGGCATCTTTTGAGAAGCAGCAGTTTTCTTCCTCTTCACAACTACATACCATGTATAAGCTTCCAATGTTGCAGCAAAAGAAGCCAGAACCACCAGGATCCCAATATAGGCTCTCTCCCATTTGTTCTCGGGATTTAATATGTCGAACCCCTTGAAAATGTTGATAATACTTAGCACGATGACTGCGTATCCTACTGAGTGGTGGTAGATGTTCCAGTAAAATCTGTATTTGTGGTCCTTTTTCGGCCTTAGAAGCAAAGCAAATACCTGTATCCAACAGAAACTTTAGTATGCGCTACATTCCCATCTCTTGTTAGAGATCAAACAAAATCCGAAAATGATTTAGATGTCAAGCATTTGATGAAATCTATTATTACCTGGAGGGTTCCTAGACAGAAGAGAACTATTCCTATGGTCCTGTGGGACGTGTATTGAACTCCGGGAGACTGACTTCCTAGCTGGAGACCGGTGGCCCAGCCGGCAACTCCAACGATGTAGGCCGAGGTTTGGCAAGTTGCGTGAAGATAAAACCAAGCAGGATCAGCAGATGGAAAGACCCTCAAGTACCTTGCGAATAAAGCACCAATAGGCAACAAGATACCCCAACTCACTGCATTCAGTACTCCATGGATCTGCATATTCAATAACCCATAGTCATTCGTTCAGATTTTTTAATTACAAAGGCAAAAGTATATTCCTTTTGTGAATACATAATTTTTAGAACTACTACATTAAGAAAAACTGGATTTTTTCATTCTGAGAACAATTTAATAGATGGTCATATAAGGATTTAAGCACTTAGTCACTTACATTTCTTTTCTTTGTTTGGGAGTTTGATGCCCCTGCTGTTGTTCTTGACTCTCCTGAAAGAAGATTTAGGGTCCCCGCGGATCGGACGTTAGAACCAGATGTAGGATGCATTGCAGGGGCATCTCCTGAAAGTGGACCATCCTGCCAAACCTGGTTAACGGTAGAGGTTAAGTTTTCCAGCTTCAGCGTGGCAAAAATAATAATTTCATTCTTTGAATACACTGCCGATAAATCTGAAACTGGGAAGCTCAAATCTCCTTCCTGCAACCGAGTCTGATAAGCAGTGATAGGTGCTGTATAAGCTCTCATGGTTCCATCAGATTTCTGGAAAGCCACGAGTGCTTGTGCGCCAACCATGCCTTGAGACCTTGGATTAATAGCCCACGCGACCCATTTAGAGCCCGTGACACCTGCATGTCGATAGGCCATTCTAACTGTTTTCGAAGAGGAGTCGTAATTCCAGTGAAGAAATGAATTCAAATATGGGAGATCATTGCAGGAACTGAAAACTTGGTTACTGGCAAAGTTGTATTTTGCACATAATTGAGCAGATGATGATAAACAGAAAGACAAGAGAACACAAGAAATCAGTACAGCTCTTAACATCTTGTTCTCTTTCCTCCTCTATAGATCTGCAGGAAATTTGGAGTTAACAGAGGATAAATTGATCAGCTTTAATTGTGACTTTATAAATAAGGAATTTGAAGAGGCAGGGAAAATGATTTGATTTGGAAAGAAAAGATGCTTATGGGAAATATAAAGACGGACGGAAGGGACTCTTATTGTTGACTTATTAATGGTGGGACATGAGTAGTTGCAGTTTGGTGAGGAAGGTTCTGTATAATATAAGAGAAATAGTACCAAGTTTATATGGGATTTTGGCCTCACACCGCCTTTGCGCTCATCCAATCGTCGGCAATCCATTGCTCTCATGATCGAGTGTTTGCTCGTCGTTTAGGCTCGTGAGTGAGATTTCTGCAATTGTCAAATTGCTATTATCTCTGTGCTTAGGTTTCAGCAACTTACTTTTTCCACGCCAAAACATGTCTTAACTTCAGCTGCAATTGTACTAATGCATATACTTATGTTTCTTGTCACCTAAACTTCAATTATTCATATTATTTTGTAGAGGTTTTTCACTTTTCATTGGATATCAAGACAAGTATTCTTCCACTTTCGAGCATATTTTTATCACGTACTAGACTGTTTATTTTTTTCGTTTATCTTGTCAATTACTATAACCATTACCGCCATATCGACCTGACTAACAGTCATGTGACATAATTAATCAGATGTCTCGTCTACATACACTCAACAATAGTAGTACAAATTTGTAGCATAGCACATGAGTATTAGTTGAGACTTGACCAATCAGTTATGGGTATTTACTACTAAATTCTTGAATTATTGTCAACCACTTCACTATTTTTTAACCAAGACATAACTCATATTGAAAAGATGAAAAAATCATCCAGTCTGTATTCATAATCACTTGCATTCCTTTTTCTACATATTGATAAGAGGTTGGATAGGTGAATTATCTAATTGGTGGAACTAAATCCAAATCTTGCCAGCCTCAAACCCTAAAGATCCCATAGAGCCAAATTATCAGCACCTCATCTTCACTAACACTTGTTTTCCTCTCGAAACCGACTTCAATAACATGTTTTGTACGTCAAGATAACTTACAATGCGTTTGACAGAAAGAAGAAAAAAGTTAAAATTTTGTTCATTTTTACAATTTTAATTTAGTAGGATAGGAGATGGAAGTGAACTCATTCTTATCTTGACATAATCTTGTAATCTGAACTTTGATTTTTATATGATGAGACAACTGGGCATGATTTTCGATGTAATACAACCTTAATTTGATACACATGGCCTCCTGTAGTGGTATTATGTTGTCTGTGGTTTTGTCGATTTGGCACATATTTTATTTAATTATAAGTACAATAATTGCTTAATTAACGTAATTATGGGCATTCCACACGATTCTAGTAACCATGCGTTTTCACCTGCACCCTTTATATTTTATTCTCCACTGTTATGCGAATCTTTAATACATAAGAAAGGATAACTTATTTTGCATGCGGATAGTATTTGGGATTATCTTTCTTTATTTTTCTTTTCTTTTTTTTACTTTTCTTAAAAGAAGAATGATGTAGAAGAGAAAATCGTAGGACATTTGGTAGCTTTTCACGAAGGTTTCGATCGGTTACGAGCGTACTTAGCCTTTTAGCACTAGACGAGGTCATTCGAGTTTGGTTTTAGGATTTTGTAAAGATCTTTTTTTTCGAGTAAATAGCTGTTTGGATCTAGTTACTATTAGAGATGTTAACTGGAATAAGGCGAGCTGCTTAGTTCACCTACTGATCGACTCGACCTAACTCATATAATATATGACGAGTCGAGGTGAGTTGACACATCACATATATACGGGCCAATGTTTTTCTAAAATTATTGAGTTTTGTTGAAACAAAAAAATTGTATATTAAAGTCTCCCATAAGAATGGGAAATTTTAAAGGTAAATAACATTAACTAGAAAAATATCCATAATATAATATAAATTTGCTGGCTTTACTATACCTAATTTGTTGGCCCACTGTAGCAACTCTTCTTCTTGTGCTGAAACCTCTTGGAAGCATGACGTATGATTTGTGTAAGCATTACGTCACAGTTATACAGTCATTCATCATAACAGAACTAAAAATCAAGATTTGAATAAGAAGACAATTTGTATATTTTTTATTATTAAGTTTGAACTAAATTTTTTTTTAATTTAAAAAAAATAAATAAATAAAAACTTTCTCATGAAGTTAAATTATGCATTATTTTATGCCAAAGGTTGGTAAGAAAATGACTAAAGTTTAGTTAAAAACATGACACGTAGAATGAAATAAAGAGCATATATGATTATGAACGTGTGTCGTCTGCATGAATGCAAAGAAGAAGATTTGAAATTAAGGTTTCGTGAAGATTTTTATTACTACTCTTCCAAATTATGTCCTAATCTGATAAAGATTGTTCCTTTACCCCCAAATAAACCACAAACTTCTACAATTTACTACAAGACATTTTCTACATTAACACTTGATTTCCTTTCCGGTTTTCTCGAAAACAGTACTTTTGCAGAAAAAGAAAAAAAAGGATGCTGACGGTGTAAGACTAAGTTATTCTTCGATAAATTCTATTCACCATAACCATACTTTGTACTTTAATTTTGCACAAGTGATTTCATTTCATTTCAATTCAGTAACTTCACTATAGTCTGATCTCAATCGAGTGACAACATTATACTTTGATTTCAATTAGGATAACTTGATTTAATTCAACTTATGAAAATCGATAATATAACAGTCAATAAATGATAATCATCACCTTGTGGATGTTAGTTGTTGACGTAGAATAAATGCAACTTGAGTTTAATAGATGATGGCCATCATTTATTGACAGTTATTCTAACGATTTTTCACTAGTGAAACTGACGAAATTGAACATGGTTACTTGATTGAAATAAAAATAAAGTGCAATAACCTAATTAATTAAAATTGAAGGATAAATACATGATTAAAAGTATAGTTATTACTAAAAGAATTATTTTTCTACCTTTTTGTAGTCTCTACTTCTTTTGTCAATGAACTTAAAACATTGAATTGTTGATGTTATAATTTATGTCTGTAGGCTTTGAAAGTTGTAAAATATATAGTATCATTCGTACACAATATTACAGCATGGTATGGGCAAATTTTTTATTTTTTATTTTTTATTTTTAATTCTCTTTCTCTTATTAGTTCGGTGCAGTTGATGTACCATACTTCATACAATTTGTATATTTAAATGTTCGTAGAAAGAGAAGTAATCTATTGAGTATTGTTAATTAGCCCCTGTTTGGTTAAGCTAATTAAAAATAAATTTTAAAAAATGGGGTTTAAACATGGGCTTAACATATATTATACAACAGCATGACACATCAATTCAAAAAATTTAATTTAATTCTGAACACCCCATTATAACTTTTTTCACCAATTAATTGATGTAACATGTTCATTGTTGTTTAGCATAATTAAGTAATAGTACTTAATACGTTATTTCTCTTCTCGAGTAATGCTATTTGTAGTCGCTCATTGTGGTAATCGCCCTACGTGGCATACACATGGTAGGTGATTATTTAATGCATTAATGTGGTAATTTTTTTATTCATTAATGTATCAAATAACTACCTGCCATGAGTATGCCACGTAGGGCGACTGTCGCAGTG